ACAAATTAGTTAGCACAAATCAGTTAAATACGAAAAATTAGGTGTCTATTTACTTGTGACCACACTGTGTAGAGTCCGAAACGAGATGCCGTTTAACATACTCCGTACGTTCAGCTGTGGGCGCGTTATAAAAAAAGTGGCAGTTATCGGATCAAAGATCAGGAAAAAAATCTAATTTGTAATTAAAAGTACAACCTGCTCAACGTGGTGAAGTTTTGGAAGTAAAGCTAAACACCACAAGAAATCAATCTGAACATTAGTGTTATTATCGATGACGAGAAAAAAGTACTAATTACATAACTTGTAGAAATAATGTTCCTACGTTAAAAAAACTGAAAGAAAACGGGTTTACATTATAACAGTTAAACCTGAATCATTTATACTAAGCTAGAATTTTACTGAGAGATTCGTAATGAGTCCAGAGACTTTTTGTTTGTTCCTAATTTTGACCTAAGGGAAGGTAGCTAGTCAACAGCACCGAACGTCAACTTTTAGGTTACTCTTCCTAACAGACTAGCAGGATTTAACTGTAAATCTTTTAGTACACTCACTGCCCGAAAGTGCAGAAAGCATTTTTTTTCTTCTTTTTTTTTCTTTTGCGGAAATGGTCCACGAACAATAAATCCGCAGATTAATAGTCCGGGAAGGCTAACCATTAGCTAGACCAGAATACTGGTTCATGGATAATTCAACGCCTTGAATTTAAATTTGTAGCAGCAGTATCTAGTCGAATTGTTGAATGGAGTGTTAGAGTGTTAATCATATTTAGTTGAACTTGAAACGTCTCCTAAAAGATGTTAATACTGAAATGAGTTTTACACCATTTTTTAGGTTAGTCTTATTAGGGTTTTTGCGTATTACAGGTAACGCTACTTGGTGCTGTGATTCAAAAACAGGCGAATGGGTGAGAGATGGTCCTGATTTGAGCGATTGTAAATCGACTGCACTAAAAGACATTCTAGACAAGGTAAGCCGTTTTACTGGAGCATTGCCACACCCAATAAAATACACATTATAGATGAGTTAACCCAAACAACCTGGGAAACGTAAGACGTCAAATATATAACCAAAAAACATTGGATGCTGTACATTTATGGAATCGTCAAAGCAAGTCAAATATGTAACTTAAGAAAGCTGTAGAACATAGAAGTTGTTACAATATATCAAATGTATAAATTACAGACAACGAAAGCTGTACAACTTGAAAATTGTTACAGTATGTCAAACATGTAGAATAAAGTAAAGAAAACAGTATACAACTTGGAAATTAAAGCAATATATCAAATACATAAATTAACGACAAGGGCAGCTATACAGCTTGAAAATTATTGCTGTATGTCAAGTATACAAATTAAAGAAAGCTGCAGATCTACAGTTCGAAATTTGTTACATTATATTAAA